ACTCGCACAAAAGTTGTTTTCACCACCCTGTTCAGCCCTAAGCTGACAGTATTGTGGAAGCTACGTGCTCCTTGGGCCAGCCACACGCTTGTCACATTACGGGTGCTTCGAACGGCTCGGTTGTAACGTGCTGACGCTATTGACACCACCACAACGCTGACAACGCCATTAAGGGCAAAGCTCATAACCACGCCTGCCTTGCTACTCCACGAACGCGGGAAATCTTTCTGTTTTTGTTTGCGCCGGATATCCCATGACTCATTGCGCTCTCCGTTCGCTTCTCTTCGAGTGCTTGCTCGAGTGCACCGTTTGGAACGAAAAATATAGCCAGTCGTTCAAAATACAAACGTGCGATTATCATTTACGGTTATTATCCGTCATGCTTTACTCATTTCCGAACGAAATCTGAATATTTCAATTTTTGTTTCCGTACCCCCTTAAAAATGTGATAAAAGGTTGTGACATCTCAGACCTACAGATGGCACCACCCGAGCCTGGCCGAACGTGGTTGAACGGCGCTTGTCAGCCGATCACGAGTGAAGGCTTCTCGTGCTCTAATATAGATTGAGTTAAAACCACAAATAGACAATCTCGGACAGCTCCTCAGCCCCTTTGATAATGTTGTGCCTCAGTCTTGCCATATGTATTGCTACGTCACCTGGCCGCTAGTTGTCATGGTCTCTGAGCGTGCATGTAAAGTGAGGTTTTAGGACATGGATTTCCTTTACGTGTTTGTGGCATCTTAGAAGTGGAGAGCGCACACACCAAGATTGTAGAGCGGCGTAAGAATTATAAACCAGAATTTGATTCATCAGCTGAAAATGACCCCCTCCCCCCTCGCCCCCCAAGCCATGTTTTACATTATCTTGGCTACTTTTCATGCAACCTTACCAAATATGTTTGCACAACAACAAAAAGATGGCAGTGTCCAGTGCCTCCGCCTTGGAAGCTGGCACCTTTCCGCTGTTGTCGTCATGCAATTGACGAGTAGTCAAGAAAATGTGCAATATCGCGGAAGGCAGGGAAAGTCGCTTTCAGCTGCCGTTTGATTGTTCTAAGCTCCGCTATGTCGTTGGCACGTGGATTGCTTTGACCGGCTCTCAAACTTTGCCGAGTGCGCAGGCATCTATTTTCTGTTAGGTGTCGTAAGGATGGTGTTTACGCATATTCAATAGCTTTTCATTTCATAAATGTCAGGGGCCATCCTGTCCTGCAAGAAGTAAGTCACAATCATTCTTGTAAAATTTATTGATTCGATCTATGCAGCTCAAAAAAGGAGCTCCAAAACATTGTAATTCTTATAAGCCCTCATTTCAGTTCTTGCTCATATTATTGTGGCCTAATATACAGGTACCAAAAAAGCAGAAGAGAGATGGTCCCAAGGTTCCTAACAGTGGCAAGGGGAAAGGGCCACAGCCAGCAAAGCCTGAGGAGAGAATGAACCCTCTTCAGAGCCAGCTGGAGGAGGAAAATGCGGCCTTGCGGGCAGAGCTCCTGGTAATGCAGGGGGAGTTCCTGGTCGAGCGGCAGCTGACAAGGAGGCTGCAGGAAGCTCTCCTGGACAGGATCGGTATGCTTCTTTCCTTTAGGAGCCCTTCGGTGCCACTGAGACTGGGTACAATAGAAAAAACGGACAAGTTCCCTCCTCAGTTAGAGGCACATGTAGGTCCCCTTTGTTTTTAAATATTTGTCTGTTATTTGGGAAATATTTTCAATCAAAATATTTTTCAAAAAATGGCGCTCACTGCTACGTGCATTCCATCTTCACTGTGTTTCTGTGACTTGGCGGGCATTAGGTGATTGGATAACCCTGGATAATTGTACAATATTTTGGCTAATCGATAAAAAATTGTTAATTTTTTAATTAATGGTTTAACAGACCATGTTGGAATTGCAGTTTTATAAGGAGTGATTTCAAGGGCTAACCCAATTGAAACAAGTTGTGAAAACTCGAGGGGCTTTGAGATGCTAATGGTGCAATTTTGGGATTCATTACCTGATTCGAAAACCACATGCTGTAACAGCTCAAGAAGTTGCGCACCTATCAGTGCACAAAACAGTTAAATACTGCAAAATTTCGAGCAAGCGCCCCCCCCCCCCCTCCCCACGCAAGTCAAAATTACCTGGAAGGGGGGGGGGGGGGGGCGGGCGGGCTATCCCGGAATGGCACCGAATTCAAGATGGCGACAAAATTTTTCCGACGGAAGAAGAAAAAAGCGCATGCGCACGAATTTAATATTTGATCTATCTCTGAGAACATAGACTTTATTAGGCCAAAGATATGTCACTGCTACGTTACTCACTTTCAAAACCACCAAAAGACTCCTCAGAGTCGGTCGCAAGAAAAAGTCTGCAGCATTCCGCGATGTTTCCCAACTGCATGCCGTTGGCTATTTTGACAGCCTGCTCAGAAAGAAGTAGGTTGCTAACGGCTCATTCTGCACTTCTCTTGCGCTCCAGGTATTCAAAAAGCGCGTCGTCCACGTATTCACTGAACACCGGCGCACCGTTATTAGCTTTCGTCGAAGTTTGGCTTTCCCGTAGTTTGGCTGTAGCAAACTCAAAATTCTGGTCCCATTCCCATAGCGGGTCGAGCTTGACGTGTTGAGACGTCTGATATACGTTTTGTAAGAATGCATAGCCGATCTGACACCTCCAAAACAAAGCCACAGTGGCGCGTGGCGATAGGGCTGCAAAGTAAGGTTGGATTGCATTCTTGGACTGAATTTCACATGCCAGTGTTGCCTGGGCGTGGTTAGCACGGTGCGTGATCCGGGTGCGTAGCGGGGAGTGGGGCCGCTTTCCCGGAACGGCGTGAAAATGTGAAATTAGCAGTGAAGTTGTGTGTGTGTGTGGGGGGGGGGGGGGGGGGGGCTTTTGCTGAAGTGGGGGCGCTTGCTGGAAATTTCACGGTAGTCGTTTCAGGCGGCTCGTCACCAGCGCGTTCTTGGCGAATTCGCCCGTCGAGGTAATGACAAGTGCACAAAATGGGTACGTCGCCCTCCGCATCCTGCACTGTTGCTGCGTGCGGTTCTTTAATCTGGCGAAGAAAATGCAAAAGTTGATAGATAAATATCAAGTAGCCCCTTGCCTTTTTGCAAATTGCTTTAATCTGATTAAGCCCTTATAATTGCCGCCTTTAAAACTGCACTTGCGAAATGGCCCATGAGACCACTAATCAAAAAGTTAATTAACATATTTTGGTTAATTAGTCCAAATAATGTCATGGTGGTCGGGTCTAGTGCATGCAGATGGATAGCTAGGTTGTTGAAGTCTATGGTCATGGAATATGTAGGGTGGAAGTTTATAAATGTAGAGATGTTCAAAGCTTAAAATTTTATACTTCTCAAAAAGCGGAGCGGTGCGTGCGTCATAAGCACAATTGTGCATTAGACGAGCAGATTTTTTTTGTAATAAATGCAGATGTGTGATATTTGTCCTCAATTTCTGACCCCAGACAAGAAAGCAGTAATAAACCTTGGTATATATCAGCGCATAATACAGTTGGTACTTCAGCCGTTCCGGTAAAAGGTGCTTTGCAGATGAAATTAGGCCTATTGATTTTGAGATTTCGTTTCGTTTGACCTGCCATATAGGAAGGTTTCTTACAGCCAGGTACGAGTGTTCACTTTTTAAGGACAAATAGTTGGAATGATCAGGATGATGGAAATAGTAGGGTATATGATGAAAGACATGAATTAGGACACATCGGGACAAAGCAGAACTTGTCTGCATCTACGGTTGTCTAAATAACTAGCCAATTAGTTTATTTTGGTATTCACCCAGCTTGAAGTGCTGCAGCACTCAAAGAAAAATTACGCTCGACCGTCTTTTGTGTGGTCAAAGCTGGGGTTCATGGCAGGTGTGTATGGAGTGACGGAAGTGCTACACCATTTGCGCTAAATTGCGCCCTGAACGTGACTCCAGTCATGTGATTGCTGCGCCAAACTGCGCCAAGGGGCTAACCCTGCTACACGCTGCTACATTTTGCCAAAATATGGGCAAAATATAGCAGCGAATATCAAATACCGTATTTGAAGCTCTTGCACAAAAATTTTAATACACATACAACCCTAATCAGAACTAAAAGATTCCAAAACAGCGAGAGTGGTCAGATGTTTTACTGCAGTGCGAGTTAAATGTTTGAGCACAGTCTGACGACAGTGATGTGCATACCGCTTTATATTATTTCAGTGTGGGGGCAGCATTGTGTTGACGCACATTGTGACAGAAAGGATGAAGGCTGTCCTTTTGCAGCGGTAGTAAGAACGCAGACACCCAGTCGCTAGGCAAGCGGTCTGGTCGTTGACGTGGGTAGTGGCACCAACAACTGCCACAAGTGCTCGGTGATTGCTGCAGTAGGTTGGGAATGCAGGACATTCGATGAACGTCGTAATGTCCTTTGCTAAAACAAGGTTGATAATGGTGCCACTGCGGGACAGACTCATAGTGGCCTCCATAGGTTTGTACCGGCGAGGAGGGTGATCTACGACGGCGACATTCATCCAGGCTGTTGTCTGCTTTCACGGCAAAGATCGATTATGCGCGACGCCGATGCCAACAATGCAAACCCCGCAAAACGTCCTTAATGCAGCTGTTGCTGTAATTGCAGTGGTACTTCGGTGTGTACGGGGCGGGTCTTCTTTTTGCTGTTGGTCTGCAGTGAACAGGCTTCCTCTGGACGGTTGTCGCGAGCCACACTGGCTTTTGGAGCCCTCAACTCGAATTGCCCAGAACGGTGAGATCGGGCAGACGACAAACAAAGCGAGGGTCACCACAGAAACCTTTCCTCCTCGCACAGAGGTCTCCCGTGCACCTTGCAGAAAGCCCATGCGTGCGCGGTTGACATTGGTTACGCTCGACAGCAGACGACATTGCAAACCCCACAAAACTTACAAAAGGCAGCTGTTAGTGCAAAAGGTTTATGATTGATATTTGTGTGCCTTTTATGGACTCGGGTTTTATGGACTCGGTATGAAACTTGGGGTGTTTGCATTGTAATGTTTTTGAGCAGTCTCTTCTTGTATATGGCTTACAGTCCGCTGATGGCTGGTGATCGGTACATGCATCAGCTCGGTTTGCAAGTAGCCCCTGCTTACTGAGGGGCGATTTTTTGTGTGTCTTGCTCGGTAATGTAAAGAGGAAATACATTTGCAGACCTGCTGGTTACCCGCCCAGCCGTACTGCCTGGAGTGGAGATTATTCCCGAGGCTTCCTGTTTCTCAGATTCATTTGTTGAGACTAGTAAGTGGGATCTTTATAAAAAGGTTCAGCATTGTAGACTTCACACAGATACTTTATGGGGCACAAGTTTGACTGGGGATTTAATTGAAAGTTTCAAATGAAGCAGGTGACTCCGCCAGCCCAACACCATCAGTCTTGGTACCACCATACCTGGCACAACCACCCCTAGTCCCCCCACTGGCTTTGGCACCAGAAGCACCAGTACCGCAAGCCCTGGCACCGCCAGTCCTGCCTCAGCCAGTTCCACTACGGCCAATTCTGCCACCACTAGTCCCCCCACAACTAGCTTCGGCAGAACAAGCACCAGTACCGAAAGCCCTGCCACCGCCAGTTCTGCCACAACCAGTTCTGCCACAACCAGTCCTGGCTTCACAAGCCCCAGCACCACCGCTTCTGGAACCGCCAGTCTTGGCGGATCCAGAAATCGAAGTACAAGAGCAAGTGCCAGCCGCACCGCCAGCCCAGGAAGAGCCTGTAGTGCTTCCCGGCAATGCTGCTGAAGTTCAGGTGAAATAATTTTTGTGTATGCCTATAGTCAATGACAGTTCAAGAACAAAGGGCGAGAAAAAGGAAGGGTGGAGAGGAGGAAGCATCCCCCTCTCTCCAGCCTTCCACCAACTTCCTCCTCCCAACACTCAATTTCCCTCGCCCTTCATTCTTGACTTTTCACTGACTAGTTCCATGCCGTGGCCAGGCAAAGAGCTGCGTGTGGCAAATGGCTGCTCACAAACTGCCCCATCTGTCGGTGAGATTGGGACTTGAAAATGTTGCACTTACAACTGAATATCTGACAGATAATGTAAGGGTAAGTAGCGCAGCGATTATCGATGGAACAAAATATCTGAGATGTCAACATTCCGAAAACGTGCTGAGCCAATTCTCGGCTTCTAGTGTGATGTCAACAAATGGCAGTGGACCAAATCTGCGTTGCCATTTCTTGGCAAAAAAGAAATTATTTTAATTGAAACCTAAAGGGCGACTCCGGCCAAAGTTAAAAAGGAAACAAATTACTGGTATCGCTTTAGTGACACAGATTACGACCCCAGCCAAAATATTACGCCAAGGGGACGCCGTATTCTCAACTAATGCCAATAATAAAAATGCGACCCGCTGCGAGCAGCCGCTCCTTAGGGGGCCGCCAGCGGGTCACCGATCGCTAAAGCAACCTCGGGCAATGGCGTCATGATCATTCTTTTTTTTTTTTTTTTTCCTGGTTCGGACGGGCTTGTTTGTTGCGTGGTCGAGCGGGGAAAGTGTGCTTCTTTGAGACGCTACCGCCGCTGTTTCGGCTGGTGCTTGGTGTGTTTAGCCGTTGCTTTATCTTTAGCTCGTGTAGCTTCAGCACAGCCTTTTGTTTATTTGCTTGTGAGGACTCCAAGGCTCATTTTAGCGAGTAATTCGGTGCGCACTCGCGCACTGAAGAAGCACTCTTCCTGCGAAGTTCGTCAGCATGTGGCAGTGGGTCATGTGCATATCGGTTAAGGCTCCAGCTGTCGTCGCCTTCGATGTCTTCACTAAACAACGTGTCTGCTGAAGAAAAAAAAAAAGAAGCCCGCCCAGTTTGGAAATTGGCACACGACCTTGACGCAGGGATTCAAAATAAAAAGCTTTCTTTATCCAATATGGAGAAAGGAGGCAGAGATTTAAAAAAAGCAGCATTTGTGGGTTGCCGATATCTGTCCTGCATTAAATTAGTGAAAAGGATGATTCCAGCCGAACCACAGTGACGACATAAGGTAAAACATGCAGTCAACATAGCAATGAACTTCGCATTACTAAGTGGTATGTCCTGCACAAAAGGTAAACATGATAAAAGTATCTAGATCAATAAAGCAGTCATTGTCAAATGCAGTGTTGAACATGGAGCATTCACGCTTCGTTGAATGGGGAATGGTGGGCATGTAGATTACAACCACTAACTAGCTCCAATCACAAGTTTTTTTTTTGTGTTTCTTATGAGTGCGGCAAGCCTTTTCTTTGATATTTTCGCAAATTAGGTTTTTCAAACGTAATTAATTAACTAACTTTACAAAAAGTTAATCAACGCCTGCCGTGCGCGCGTTCCACCGCTCATACAAACAGCAACAAGCAATAGGGTATTTTGCCGCAGAAAGTTATTTCCGCCGTTTTAGCGAAATAAACGACTACGGTATTCAATTTGGCGTACGCCATACCCACTACCGTAGTCGAAGCAGAGGGGTAGTGAGATTGGTATCCTACATTGACACCGAGCGAGTTCACTCGCCTGCCAGTCGCTAGATTTTGGGTATACGCACTAACTATTGCTACATATGCTGGGTGTCTACCACGTATACAGAATTAAAATGAAAGCAACTTACCTTTTATCTTTAAACGGCTAGCGCAACAGACATAGGTGCCGCTTGGACCGCATACTCGTTAAAGCACTTCGTTGAACAAGAACGACGATAACGTGAAGTCCACCTAGCGACTGATGTCCAGTGTTGCTGGGGCCTCGAGCGGCTAGTTTCGATTTTGTTGACCACGCCCCAGACAAAACTTTTGAGGCGTCGATATCTTTAAAAGTACGCACAATACCGAAAAACAAATTACACCTCGTAATTCACGGACGCTGACTGTGCTAGAACAGTCATAATCCCAAAATCAAAACTATGGACCGGAGTTACCCTTTAATGTTGCAAAAGGTTTTAATATGGGGGACCTGTTCTTCTGTTTTGCACTCCAGAGCAACACCATGGCTGGTTCTTATGGGAAGCTGGTCTTGTTTTAAAACGACTTCAAAAACTGCCTTAAAAAAAAGGCAGCTTTCTTTTGTTGTTTTTAGGAACATGTGTTTTCTTATCTTTTTGGGGTACTAGCACACCGCTCAATGCTTTACTGAATTTTAGGACGCCTATTTTTGCGCTTGCAAATGGACGAGAAAAACGGAGCCTCACTATCTGCATTCTCATTTTATTGGTCTCCGAAAAAGAAGTGCATCAAGAGTGACGTTGCGAAAGAGTGTTGGTTTCAATTGGAGGAAAAAAAAAAACTCCAACCCAAAAACACTTAAAGGGTTATGACACAAATATTAAACGGCTGGATTATTCTTCAAATGAAATGCTCAAAGGCTACTTAGTATATACACCAAATTACGACATTTTTATAGCTCTAATAATTGCAATAACCAATTTACAATTTTTTTTCATTTTCATTTAGCAACGAGGCAACGCTGCCCAAGTTAGTCACACAATGGTGTCCATAAACCACGTTATCATGGCTGCACTCTCTCATTCTAGGCGCCCCCATGATCGCCCAAGCTCTCCTTGCCGCGGTACGATCAAAACTGCTCATGCAACTGGGCAACCCGAACGCTATTCTGGCTCTCGCCCCCGGCTTGTTGACCTTCCACCCTGCATGCACTTGCGAGATATTGCCGGACAACGGTGACCACAGCGAGTTTGACCGTAACTCGGCGTCGCTGGAGCTGGTCGCCAGCGGATCGCAGTCAAAATGAACAGCTTCCAACATCTCTGGATAGCAATCACTCTCATCGCTGCTGCGATCAATGTTGAACACTTTGACAAGGCGAGCAGTGCCGTAGACGTAATCGTCATGAACCACATGCTCGAAACGCGGAAGTTAAACGAGGAAGCTGAAGCTCGAGACTCCCAAGAGAGGCAAGTCTGCGAGTGCGTGCAAGGGGGCGCCGCACGGGAGGCTGGCTAGTTCACCAGCCTCCCGCTCCGCCTGGATCCGCCCCTTCGAGGGACCAGCATATAAATCAATTTATCCACAAAACTATCGCGCCATTTTCAAAACAAACTTAGCAGAATTATAGGAACGTACAATGGGTCCTAGCAGTATTGTTTTCTCATATTTTACTTTTGGCGTGTCATAACACCTTTAAAAGAGGTTCACAACGTTTCAAGGTCGATTTGACCCTTTCTTCTGAGGGTGACTATGTGGAATGGGGCAGCAACAGCTTCGACCTCTTCTTTTTCTACCTTCAAGCATCTGCATTGACTCGCTGCATTGCATCGCGTCGCGCTGCATCATGCAGCGCATCACCTCCCCATTGTCTTGTTTGAAGGGTCGCAAAGGCAACTCGTAATCACATCTCGTTGCAAGCGGACACAGCGCAGCCAAACGCTAATGTCTGAACCAGCCTGTTCAGATATTAGCATTTGGATAAAGTCTGATGCAAGATTTGATGCAAGTGCTCTGGGTCTGGTGCACTGGTCGAAAACGCCTTCACTCCGGAATCCGGACTGAATCGTCAGTCGGATTTAATTAGTTTACATACTGCGCAAAACACATTTTTTTTTTGTACTTGATAGCATGCGCAGCAACTTTCGACTTGAATCCCGTATGACTGTTGAAGTGGTACTTGCCCATAGCTCTCATTGCGCGAAAAGGCAGACAAATCACGACGCTTTGACACGAACTAAAGAACAAAAGAAAACCTACCAAGAGCGTACAGTGGCGTTCAGAAACCTGAGTGCACGCGCGAACCGAGCCCGCTGAATCCCCATTCCTCGCGCGTGCCACGGAAGCTGACATATCCTTCATATTTTCTCAATGTCTTCCAGCCGCAACATAAACGCATCCCGACGGTGCGGCCAAACAGGATCGAGGTTGGCAGCCATTGTGCCATACGGTGATACGGATGAATGGAGAGCAAATATCGGGGACGCGGAGACGTGCCGCTACGTGCTCAGGCGGTGGCTAGTGCCACCTAGCGATATATATTCATAGAAACTTTCATGCATTGCAGTCAGCGCACCTCAGAAACAAGGGGGTGCGATGCATACATGAATAATTTCTCCTATTTTATTTTGAAATATTTTGTCCTAAACACGGGGGTGCGGCCCTTACATGCAATTATACGGTACTATTTAATAAGTATTTTAATTGCTTGTGTGAGATAGTTCTATCATCATATACATGCAAGGTCACTTTCTGCTGGGCAGAAAATCTTTCCTCAGTATATAAGCCTACAGCACAAAAACAAAACAAGTACACAGATAGAGTGCACCGTCCTTGTTATTTTGTTTCCCTATCTTTTTGTGTATTCATTCCGTTTTTGCACTGTAGGCTTATACGATGCATCACCAACTTGCTCAAGCTGCCACCTTCTCCTCAGTGTCGTTTCCCCCTTCCTTCTGGCTGTGTTCGTATTTCCAAAAAAAAAAGCTGGTGAGGGAGTTTATCTCCTCAGAAAAGAAAACAGGCCTCATACTTTATGGGAGAAGGTAGAAATTTAAAGGGGCCCTGCAATCTTATTTAAGCGTCTACCTTTTTTGCGGTTTCCACGTCTCTTGGGGTTAGGGCAAGCCAGCGGGCACGGAGAGAGTAACTAAATATCAGTGCGTCATATTTTAACCGGACGACGCGGAAACCTCCTCCACCGACGAGGGCGACCCGCGGTATCGAAAGCACGCAAAATGTAACGTCTTTGATCCTAGGCTTACCACTGGTCAGAGCCGCTAAAAGCTTCTTTTTAGTCGACCTACAAAATATAAGTGGCACGAACCGTGTCAATTACTTATAAAAGTAGTTTTTGTTCACTATTTTAGATCAGAAAAGTAACAGACGCTGTTTATAAAGTGCGGAAACAAGAAATGACCCGTCGACATACCCGCCACCAAGCGGTGGAAAAGGCGGCACATACTAGAAAAGAGTAGTGGGATCAGGCGCCGACACGGAAAGGTCCCGGATGTACGCGGCGGCGCTGCGGTCGTATGGATATGAGGATCCGACCGGCTCCGAGCGTTCCGAAGGCCTTCGGAACGCTCGGAGGTTTGGCCGTTTCCCGGTATGGCAGCGCGAAGTGGCTCCCATTCTGAACTGATCTTCACCCCGTGTTTGCTGTCGTTTGTGGCCAATGAGGTGTCATGCCGAATTAGTGCTTAATCGCGCAGCAAATGCAATGAGAGCCGCTCTGGTTGCCCGCTGCATACAGCCTAACCAGAACATGCTTTAGTGGCACCCTCTCGCGCCGTCGACACGGAGTGTGGCAGCCGTGAGCTCCCGCGATGAGCCCACTACCCCTTCCCTAGTTCAAGGCCACTCAAGCAACCAAGGACGTCATGAGGAAGCTTATTTTTTGCTTGTTTTTGTAATTTTAATTTGCCTATAACTTTTAAAACAAAGCGAATTTCGAGAAAAGAAAAGTTTCACTAAGTTACTACGTTCAGTGCGCTCAGGTTCGGTGCAAATTAAAAACCAGTAAAAAAAGTCCTTGCAGGGCCCCTTTAAGGGCTCTTCCTACCTTTCTGTGTATATGTCAGGTCTAAGCATAGGATCACATGCATTCCATTTCTACTTTCAGCCATTTCTGGAGCCCGGTGACATGGAAGCACTGATGGATGCAGGCACGGACTCCATATTCGTTCGGGACATCAGCAGAGCGCTATGGCCGGATAACCTGAGGAACAGAAGCCTCACAGGGAACCCCTGCCGTCGTCTTCTGAAAAGTGGCGCATTGGGAAGGCGAGCCCTGACTCCTCAAAAACTGAAATATATTCGCCGTAAGTAAGCATTCTTTTACTTTCATTTAAAAGCGTTAGTCTCTTCCTTTCTTTTGTCTGCCTTTTCGACGATTCAAAGTATTTCTTCTAGCGTCAGGGCGGTCCATTTCCCACACATCGTCGTGCGTAGTAGTGCGCCGCAGTGTGCCAGCACGTGCTGCAAACGTGTGGAACCGGAGACAACCAGAAGGTTTCGAGCATTGAGCTTGTTAACTTTTGCAAAGACAGGAGCGAGCGCGACAGATCAATGGCAGAGGCACGGAGAGAATGCAGGTAATAGCAGAGCAGGAGTTGGCAGGAAACTGAACATTGTCATTCTTTCATGGAACAAGAAAGACAGAAAGGGGAATCAAAGTAGAAAGAGAGAAGAGCGGTGGCGCAAGGGGAGAACGTAGGACATACTGTTCTAACGATGGGGACGAATCTCTGGAATGTTTCGCTGCTGTTGCTTGGGAGACTCGCGTGCCTGTGTGCACCTGCATTGTTTGGTTCTCAGTGTTTTCCCGCAGGTCATCGTATGAGGAAGGACAGGTGAATCTCTCAGCGTGTTATACGGACATTGCTTTTATGGGGAGCTAGCCAGGACTGTGTTAATTCGTTGTGAAATGCAGGACGTCGCATAAACCAGGGATGTGTAATTGAGGTTCCCCTCTAATGTGGGCCGCACTGCTACTGCGTGGAAAAATCTCAACTCCCAGCTGTTGAGCTTTCCTTTGAAAGCTCTGGGTTGAGGTATTATGTGTGCCACTTTCCAAAGTAACTGTGTGAGCTAAAGGTTGTAATACCTTTCCACATATGCGAAAAAATATACTTTTCGTGGCGGCACTGGTCAGCTGAAGGGACTGTTTTCCGCCCACATGTCTATAAACCTTGTACGAAGAGCCTTTTGTAGGCACAAAGATTGGTTGCCACTAGTCATGACAGCACTAAGTATTGCTGTTTTCTCTCCAAGACTGTATTTTCCAGGAGGTCAGTTTCGTGGCAGTGGCATCACAGCTTTTTCAGGCCCAACAGTGGTACAGCGACAAGGGCACATTTTATGCCAGCAATTATTTATTTATTTTTTAGTTTAAAAATACTGCCCATCCCCATTAGGGTATGGTACAAACAAAATCAAGCAGGTATCGGTACAAATAAAAACAACAAAAAATTTTTGAGGCGCGCAAAAAAAGGTAATTTTTACTCAAAGTTCAATGAAGTTTGAGGCATCATACACGAAATGCATTTGCAGTGACCTTTCTCTACAGGCTTCGACAGTGAAGTAAATAAAAGGCAAATTGTGTTGAGTTCGTTGAGACAGCGAAAGGTCAGTCTGCCTCAGATTGGCTCTAAGTTTTCTGCCGTAAAAGAGCCATATAACCAGTGCAGCATGACTGCTAGCCTGAGGTCTTTAACGTGCATCGCAGAGCAGTGATTACACGTATGCGCGCCAGTACGATGCTCATCCAGATTGAAACGGGCAGGGCAGGGATCGAACCCAAGATCCCTGGGTTCTTCATCGCGAGCTTTCGCTCCACATGCTCTAAGCTAAGACGCGTTAGGCCACTCGGCCACCGTTTTCCCCCGACAGTGAAGTAGGGATTGATAAATGTATGTAGTTATAAGGCATGAAATCAAACATCACAAAGAAAAAAATCCGTACCCCTATTGTTAGGGGCTTTGATGCCTCATTTTTAATGAGCAAGCGTCATGCTCTCATGTATAGATTGTTTTATGGTGGGTGGCACCATTTTGAGACTGAGAGAGAAGATGGGAAAGGGGGGAGGAGCTGCCGGTACTTTCTCACTTGCTGGTGTGTTAGAAAGAGGGGAAGTCCCGGATGAGAGTCTTCGCCCGTGTTGATTGTATGCATTGCGCGAACTTCGTTCGCGCTTTCTTCTCTGTTTTAAACTCCCAAACCTAATTAGAGCCACAGGCTTCACTGAAGACAGTCCTGCGGTCATTGGGCCACCATTTCTCGGTTATAGGGTGCACAAATAACTACAGAAAGGGTCAAATACTCTCCGAGGATCTATGTAGCTTGCACGGAATCCGGCAATGCGAGTGTGGCTGCAGTGTCTTGAAGCTCCATCGCTTTCCACATGACCCCGATCTCCGGCGGCAGTGGGTTGCATCCGTAAACCAAAAAGACGTTTCCCCAATACCATCCTCTGTGCTCGGAACATTTTGTGAATGGAGCGTCCACCGAACTTAACGCTGTACCGTCGATGAACATGGGGTACGCTCGCAAGGTGCCTGCAAGCTTTCTTGTGATAAGTGTTGTTTCAGCTTGTAACTTTTTGTAACTGAATTTATCCTAATATTTATGTTTTGAAGTGGTCACACTGGCTCGAGTTTATCATCTACAATAATTAGTCGAAGGCTAATTTCTGCCGCCGGGTGTGACTGGAAATTGTCGATAAGTTAGTTCTATCGGTTTTCCTAAATCGCGATCTCCTGCGCAATACCAGTTAGCCATGAATGTATGTTGACTGTCGCAACGTGACAAGATTCTGCTTATTTTCAAATTTCAGTACATAATGTAGCTGGAAAGAAACCTTCAATTTCTTTTGCTGAAAGTTAAAACATGCTCATGCATCGACTTCGAATCGGTAAATCATTGGTCGTCTCGCTTCGGCCATAGGCCCATCTCGACTTTGCCGTTTTCAGTTCTCGAAAAAAGACACACTCTTGATACAGGATCCTCAAATAAAACGTGTTGACGAGTGTCTTTTGTCGAGAACTGAAAATAGCAAAGATGAGATGGGCCTATTGCTGAAAAAGTCAATCAACGATTCAAAATGGATGCATGAGCATGTTTCAACTTTCAGCAACAGAAATTGAAGGTTTCATTCCAGCTACATTGTGTGCAAATTTAGAAAATAAGAAGAATCTATTCGCATTGTGATGGTCAGCATGGGTTCATGGCGCTCTGGTATCACGCAGGAGATTGCGATTCAGGAAAACCGATAGAACTAACTTATCGACAATTTCCAGTCACACCCGGCGGCAGAAATTAGCCTTCGACTAAGTATTGTAGATGATAAACTCGAGACAGTGTGACCACTTCAAAACATAATTATTAGGATAAATTCAGTTACAAAAAGTTACAAAAAGTCATGTGGAAAGCGATGGAGCTTCAGGACATTGCAGCTGCAATCGCATTGACAGATTCCGTGCAAGCTACATAGGTCCTTGGACAGTATTCAACGCTTTCTGTCGTTACTTTTGCACCCTATAACCAAGCAATGGTGTCCCGATGACCGGGGGACTGTCGCTATATAAGCATGTGGCTCTAATTACGTTTGGGATTTTAAAACACATAAAAAAAGTGCAAACGAAGTTCGGGAAATGCATATACCCAACGCCGGCGAAGCCTCTCATCTAGGACTTGCACTCTTTCTTTTGGGGGGAAGCTCCGGTAGCCCTTTCCAACTCTTCTCTCTCGCCCTCTTTCAGTAAAATGGTCTATAGGTTCCCACAATTCAGCAACTGCAAGATGCCTTGGAATCTTTCTTTTTTGGTAAGGGGTACCACCAAAGTACCTGTATTGTGCATAGGCATCCTTGGGCATTGGACATTATACAGAAACCTCATACACTTGCTAATAACACTCTAAGCCCAATTAAAAGTATTGAAACTTGCCACAAACGAGGTTTTATAATGGTTTTATTAAGAATAACAATATGGGTATGTGAGTGTACTTGATAAATTGGATTTAAAAAAAAAACAGTAGTTCTCCCTCAAGGAAATTCACATATGCCTCTTATGAAGCTCTTGATAACACATGCTTTTATTTGGCTTATTATGGGGGACCTGCTCTTAGTACATGAGATTCAGAAGCTCCAGCAGAAGTGTTTTTTGCGAGGCAAATTTTTCTTCCCAGATTTGTGGGCTTTTGGCATTTATTTTCGGTGTCAGCAAGAACTTTGCATTTTTTGATGCTTATATTGTAAGATAGCAAGCACAACATATACTTGATATGCATTCTGAAATGGTGCCTGTGGAAAAAATTCCCGAAGAAAGAAGCAGCCTTGTGGATAGTTGAGTATGGGCTACAAAATATAGAATAAAGCTGTAGATAAATGGTTCTTCTCATGAAGCCTTAAGTCTCGTTACCCAAGGCCAGCTGCAATTTAGTGCGGTTATTTTTTTATTTGTAGGGAACTGCCTCAGGCCTTTGGTTTTTTAGTATACCTTTTTATCGAAACATATTTTTAGTTTGTGCGACTCGGTGGGCATTAGATTGGTGGATAACCGTGGCAATAGTTTGACTATGTAACGAAAATCTGTTTAGTAACTTTTTAATTAGCGGTCTTATGAACCATGTTGCAATTGCAATTTCAAAGGCAGCCTCTGTGAGAGCCTAACCCGATAGACCCTTTTCGAAAGTTGGTGTCATCTACTGCTGGACGCACAAACTTTTCCTTCGCCATTGTTTGATCCCTCTCCCGTACGCACCCGTATGAGAGCAATAAGAAAGCCAGTTTGACACCAATGGAAGGTGCCTAATGATGCAAATGACTGATCAAAATTTAGAAAACAAAAATTTTTTTTACTTGCCTAATCAAGACAATGTCACTTCCAAAGTTTCCATAGGGGATATACTTAGTAAACATCATGTTTCGGTTCAGTTTGACTAGGTCCTTGCACAAGTCCATGCAAAAGGAGCGAACGATTGCCATCATCGCTTTAAAAATGGTGTCTCGATTTCGGTGCGACGCAGGCGTATAGTGTACCGGAAAAATAACGCAACTACGCAAAGTAGGCAGTAATTAACAATATTGACAATAGCCAATACCTTGGCTGGTAACCTCTAGCGACTGCCTGTACGACTAGCTTTCGAGGTCTGTTTATCATCGTTTGTAGGCTACACGATGAGCTGTGTTCGTGATGATTGCATGTCGCCACATCCCCTTCTGCAGCCTTCGCAGTATAAGAACGGCACACGGAAGCAAGCTGCATATGATGCAGCCATTCGAAGCGACAGTAGATAGGTGTAGAATTCACAGAGCAGCTTGTGGCTGCTTTCTGAATCCAGCCCGTCTGGCTGTGTTTGAAAGCACAGCCTCCTTGAAGTATTGGCATGTTCTTAGACCACCGCATATTTTCATTGGACATTCCGGTCTTCGAAGGCATGACTGACTCAGATCACGCACTGGGAGGTCTCGGCACCTGGACAGCCTTGACGCAATCAAAAACGCGATGCCCAAAAAATGACTGCATTTCCGCTTACAGCACTTCACCCCCGGTTGCCAGACTGACTTTTGAAAAATTACTATTTCAAAAATTGGCAAAGAGCAAGGGGCTTTGAGATATTTGTTGATCATGTTTTGCGTTTTTTTTGCCCGATTCAAGAAGCACATGGTTGGAGCGGAGGAAGTGTAAAGTGGTGTAGTGGTTTCGGGCCCTCATCACATCATTGTCTTGGAGGTGTGACATCAACTTATCCACCAACTACAAACTGTCGAGATAGTCACGAGCTATGTGAAATGGCTGCATCGTTTTTTTATGCATTGATCAGTTTGCAACTTCTGATGCTCTATCCTCTTGCTTTTTGAATCAGGTGAATAGACAACGAAACTTCATCAATAAATATCTCAAAGTCCCGTCCCATTTTGCAAATTGTTTTAGGTTGGGCTAGCAGGGTGTCTACCGACGGTGAAAACCGGAAATTGTCAGGGAATTTTAAGAAACCTGGAAAAGTCAGGGAATTGTCAGGGAAATTTCCAAAAAGATTGCGGAGTCAGAGAATTTATCCCATGCTTGCCCGCTTACGCTAGAAGCGCCAGGCACGGGCAGGCATAGCCTTGAGCGCAGTCAAGTGCGGCGTCGCAACCCCCTAGGCACGACACGACCCGCCCAAGCTGACGGGCGCAGACGGGCGGGTACAGTTGCAGTTCCGCCATGGCAACTTCCCACGCGCTGCGCTTCACAGAAGAGCATGTGCGAAGCTGGCGGCTCATCATTTTTTTAGTACACTCTGAAGCCACTAAATAAGCTACACCTTAGAGTAGCAATGCTAAAGTATGGCGGCTCAAGATGTACTCACAGTTGCTAGTGAAGCAGAGTAGCAGCAGCCATTTTCTTTAGTTTGTGACGAGTCGGGGGGTGTTGCTCTATTACGAGGAGAAACAGATACTCTAGCCGATACTAGGTGGCGCGAGTCACCACTCACTCAGAGGAAAACAGGCGTCGTTCATTCATCTACCCTCTGAAGGGTGCGCGCCTAGCGGTCCATTCGTTTGTCAGATATGGTGTTTTCGCGCCTCCCTGTAAATGCAACTTGATGCCTGCACTCTACAAGCTCTGCCACGTGCGTTTGTCGCTTTGGGTTGTGCTTTCTATTGTGTAAGTTTCCGGAAGTGGAGATATGTGAAAGTGACTATGTTGCTGTCGAGGAAGTGCTCCTTCAACTTCAACTGGACAAACCCGGACATATCCACGAATGCAAGTTGGATTTGGCCCGTCCCAAATAATCCAAGTAGAGCTTACTGCACAATGTGCTGCAAGAAGTTCTCCTTGAGCAACATGGGGAATAGGGCGATTACTACTCATGTTGAGGGTAAGAAACATCAAGCTGCTATGAAATATCTGCAAGGCGTTTCCCAGATCCCAATCGTATTTTTCAAGACTGCGACAAATCTGGACTAGCCTTCCGCGACAGCAACGGGCATTTTGTCCAGAGGTAGCGATAGTGCTTGTAGGGCTCCAGCAATGCATCTAACCACCGCCACAGAAGCTCTTAGGCCCTGTGTGAAGGCGTTGGTGGGTGGCTTTTTATTGAAGAACGAAGTCACAAAGGGGGCCGAGATCATGTGGTGTTTGAACACTAGTTACTCGTGGATCTTTCCGTTTAGCGGCAGCATCTGCCTCGCTGTTTCCGTTGATGTTCCCCATGTGTGAGACCGCCAAAAAAATGCAGCTTAGAAAAGACAAAGTGTGATATACCATATGTCATGGTATCGGCCCATACTTTCAAGAGAAGTTGCTAGCAAGCCTTTCTAGCGTGCCATATCTGCTGGTTGCTTTTGATGAGTTTATGAACAAAGTAACTTGGAGAGAAAAAATGGATATGCTGGTCAGGTACTGGGACCAAACTCCCTGAAACAGTAAAGCTTGGTCTATGCTGTATTCTAAACATCTTCCAAAGTAAATAAAATATTTTGCTTTGTGAATAGTGTCTATATATAATATATTTTGTTTTGGTGTCGGTAGTTGTGGGTCAGAAAATTCAATTAAAATAGTCATGGAAAACCTGAAAAGTCGGGGAATTAAAAAAAAAAAAAGCAATTTGGTAGACACCTTGGTTAGGCTCTAATTTTAGCTGCCTCAAAACTGCAATTACGACATAGCCCGTAAGACTACCAATTAAAAAGCTAATGAACAAATTTTGGTTAATAATCAAAATATTGTTGTGGTTATCCACCCATCTAATGTCCCCCGAGTCCCCACAACACCCAGTGAAGACAGCATCGATGTAGCAATGAGCTCTCTTTTTCAAGGAACTGTTCCAGTTTTTACCTGTGTTCTGTTCTTCCTTACTTTTTTTTTTTAATTCTCTCGGATGTTGTTTAAGGTCTTGCGTCCACTGGTACAGTCACCTACTTAATATTACATTATATTCCAGGTGCCCTCGCAGCATACATCGAGAGGAACCCGTCACCAGTTGTGTCGGCCGCCCTGAGACTTGGTCAGCTCAACACGCACATCCGGAGGCTGCTGGGAGACGAGAACAGAAGGCGCCACTGAGCAGCAGCAGCAGCAGATTTTATACTCCGTGACAACAGTTGCGTGCAGTACAGGCAAAGGCAACGCCAAGCGAGGGGAGAAAGGGCAAGTAATAAGAAGGCTGGCTAGGAGGAGAGAATACTCTTTTCTTGAACGTTCCTAGTGCTGTCCCTTTGTCCCCTCATCCTCCTTCGCCCTCCTCTCCCGTCCCGCCTTCCTAGTGTTCGCCCTTTCTCTCTTTGCCTGGTGTTGCGTTTGCCTGCACTGCACACAGCTACAGAGTATAACTGCACTTTTATTGGAATTGACTTTCTGTTGCTTTTTTACTAAAGCATTTTTTTTATATTTTAGTAACGGAGTGTCACATCTCAAGCTGAGTTCTTGTTTTTAATGTATCTTTTCTAAAAAAAAACAAAAAAAAAACAAAAAAAAACTACGCTCATTTAATTTGGCACATATATTCTACATGTTACTGGCTTTGAACTGAACCGAAAAGAAAATAAATATGAGCATGCAGCATGCAAGAAAAAAAATAGTTCTTTCTAGTCATAAGCCATTAGGGGGAAACTTTTATATTTTAAATTTTTTTACGTTATAGTGCAGTGAATTCTTAAAACATTTCGGTTCAAACTATTGGCAAAATATTTTATTATAAGGTGTAAACGTTCTAGTGTAATCGGATAAGTAGTTTCTTAGTGAAGGTATATTAAATTTATAAAAATGTCATTTTGGGAGCGCTGATTTTGGTGCCATATGCAAGTGGCTTGGGACGCTCACTCACTCTTGTTGCTTGCTCGTTTTGTTCCTCAGACTGCACATAATGTTTTAACACTAAAACTGCAAAATCAGTTTGAGCTAGAGGCAGCAAATGTTTGGAATATACATTTATAATTCTAGTCTTTCATATTTTTAAGTCACTATAGAAAAGCAAACATTTTTAATATATTTGTAACCATCTCGTCGTTTAGGTTTTTATGGCAAGAGGCAAAGCTCTTAATATAGTGTATGGGCAAAAAAATATATAACCGCTTTAAACAAATTGGAAATGGAAGTTTCATATAGTTTTGTACCTATGTGGTGCAGTGTTTATGATCTGCTTGTATACATCTTTATTGTGCTTCCATTTAGAAAATAAAAAGGTGTGTTATGAAGCTTGAGTTTCTCCGAAATGAAAGATAAGTTGGAAACCTAGGTCTTTAGATAGGTTTTGTAAGAAAATCTACCAAACCGTTGCATTTACACTGTCAGTGTTCGACAATGACCTTGAACAAGGTTGCGTGTTGGTTCATGCCTGTGAAACCAGCACAATTTTATACAACTCGCTTCTGTGCTTTATCTCATATTATGATTTAAATGTATAATCTAATTCAATTGCATGGTCCTTGCAGGCACGTAGCCAGGGGGGGGGGGGCAAGGGGCCCGGGCCCCCCCGAAATCTTCCATTTTGCTGGGGCCTCCTCTCCCCCCTCCCCATCATACAGCATTTTGTCATGGGCAGGCCCCCCCCCCCCCCCCCCCCCCCGAAACAAAATCCTGGCTACGTGCCTGGATCCTTGTATGAAGCAGGTATGTGGAAGGTGTGCTGCCATATGGTTCCACAATGCTGTCATCGCCCTTTCGCTGGTATAGGATGTCCCCTAAAACGTTATGTTGCATGGTTTCGTTCGTCAGCATGGTTCCGTGCGCCTCCATCGTTCCGAGCGACTACATGCAGTCGCTCGGAACCACGGAGGCGCACGGAACCACCACGGAGGCTCACGGAACCATGCAGGCGAACGGAACCATGGAGGCGAACGGAACCATGGAGGCGAACGGAAGCATGTAGGCGAACGGAACCATGTATGGTTCCGTGCACCTCCATGGTTCCGCAATAATCCACTACGCTGGTATAGGATGTCCCATAATACGACACGCTTGTATGGTTCCGTCGACCTGTATCATATTCCATCTCAATCCGCTATGGTGGAGCCACATTTTCGCTGGTATGGGATGTCCCATATTACGGTTACGCTTGTATGAGGATTTTCCATCATCTTTCCGTCATCAAAATTTTCCAACAGGGTTCGATCAAGATGCGGAAACCGAAATTCACACGGACGCAAGTAACGCTGGACTTGGCGCGGTACTGGTTCAAGCGCAAGGGGGCACCGAGCGAGTTATCGCCTACGCAAGTCGGACACTGTCCAAGGCAGAGAAAAATTACTCCACGACTGAGAAAGAATGCCTTGCTGTCGTCTGGGCAATCACGAAGTTTCGTCCGTATTTGTACGGGAGCCCGTTCCGTGTAGTCAAACACGGTAATCACTCGGCCACGCGCGCGGTCGCTCGCTGACGAGCGTGGCAATATATATACAGGGTGTCTTTTTTAAGCTTAACAGATTTGTTTTAAAAAAGCCGTGAAAGTTACACTTATGCTGCTTGTGGAGGTGAGTTATACGGCCAAGGGGACATATTATAGGAGGATAATCGTGACGATCAATGGACTAATTAATTAAAATTTGTGAGTTAACTTTTTAATTAGTGAAAATAGACATATGGTTCTAATTAGAAACTTGCTCACCGTCATCGAAAACCACTAAATCAGTTTTTTTCAGAAAGACTTTGACCGCGTGAGAAGCGTAGTAGTGCACTAAAGTTACCACTCGTGGAGTAGGTACGAAGCTAGCGGTTGCGATAAGGCGCCCGAGCGATTTTCTGTCTCTTATCTAGCCCCAGCCTTGTACCTGCTCCACGAGAGGTAACTTTAGTACAATACCACGCTTCTTACGCGCCGAAAGTCTTTCTGAAAATGACTGACTTAGTGGTTTTCGATAACGCTGAGCAAGTTTCTAATTGGAACCACATATCTATTTTTATTAATTAAAAAGTTAATTATCGAATTTTAATTAATTAGCCGACTGATCGTTACGATGAGCCTCCTATTATATATCCCCCTGGCTGTATAACTCACCTCCACAAGCGGCATAAGTGTAACTTTCGCCGCTCTTTTTAAACAAATCTGTTAATCTTAAAAAAAAACACCCTGTTTATATATATATATATATATATATATATATATATATATATATATACAGGGTGTTTTTTTTAAGATTAACAGATTTGTTTAAAAAGAGCGGCGAAATTTACACTTATGCCGCTTATGGATATATTTATATATATAGATATATATATATATATATATATATACAGGGTGTTTCAAAGAACGCAGGCCAAATCACTCCTGCGAAAAGTACTCATCGCAAGAAAAAAAGACTCGTGGCGTTTTTGTTCTGGGACAGGGGCCTATTTAGCAAAATTATTAAAGTCCAGGATAATTAAGTTGTAAGTATTTTTGCGTGATTATCTTTGAAAATATTGTGTTTAACGGCATGGTTTAAATTAGAAAATTGCTCAGCATCATCGAAAAACACTAAATCAACAAATTGCAGAACGATAGAAGGCACGCGAAGCATTTTACGGCTTTCTGAAAAACCGCACGAAGTCGACGGGTTTTTAAGTTTTGGTTTGCTATCGGAGCGCATCTCAGCCCCGGCGGCACCGCGCCCCGTGGAGAGATAGTGCAATCAACCTCTACTGCGCTGTCACCGCGCGACGCAGCAGTGATGACACAGAAACGATCCGAAACAAACGGAGAAAGTGTCAAGGAGAAGGGTAGTTAATAAAAATATATAAATAAGAATAAAATTAGCCAAATCCGATCTTAACAAAAATTGCGTTAAAAAATAAAAATATTTAGGTTCGAGCGGTGGCAAGGCGATAGGTCCACGCCTGGTGGAGAGTCAGACAAAGAAGTCGATGGCACGTAAAGCTAAAACAAGGAAACAAAGATTTAATAAAGACGGAAAAACTCAGCCGCACATGGCAAGAACAAAAACCAACTCCTCTGGGCATTCCCTAAACGGGACACAACCGAATGCGTGCGAACACGCTCTGTAGAGCACCGTCAGGCCGCTACGCCATGATGAAATAAACCCAACAACTAAACAATGCTAACAAACAGTAAGTAATAAAACATTGAAAAAAAAAAGAAAACGTTCAGCAAAACCGCACCCGAGAAACAAAGTTCAGCGGGGCAAAGAAACACACACGAAATAATAAAAAAAATTTAACTGACCGACGCCGAGTCCAGTCCCAGGACACCAAAGCCTGGCGGATGACGGTGTCCAGATGATGCTCGAATCTGTTTTTCACTCTGTTACGTACATACACGACGACTGTGCGGAACAAAGTGAAGAATAGATCCGAGCAGCGATGCGCGAGAAGGTAACCGAGACGTAACATGCCTCGAGCCTTATGTTGGGAGGAGAGCTTTCGAGGTAGTTACTGCAGTTGCTGAAACTTTCTTTATCCCCTTCCCTTTTTAAAAAGAACACGTTAGCCGGCGCTAACTTTTCAACTCGGGAGACGGCCAGTCTTCACAAAGGGTTATAGTTGACAAGGAGGCTAACCCAACTAGTCCCCGGGCAGAATAAACACAAGTACATTTACCACCACGCTCGTTTTTAAAGTCAGTCTCCGGGCTTCGCTGTTCCCAAAAAAGATAACCCTTCGGTGCTATCGGACCTCCGCGGAGAGAGATGTTCGCCGCGTCAACGACACATTCGTACCATTTCACTCCTCGTGACACACGGTGCGCTGCTCCCTTTACAGGCCCGGGCCGTCCTATCTAACACAACGAGCGCGAAAGGTCGTGGTCATCTGCTTGTTCCGGAAGGGCGGGACGTTCATATAGGCCAATGAAGACCCCGAATCAATAAGACGTCTGCCGATTTCTGCACATTAAATATTTACGACGCCTGCTGGTCTGTTCAGAAGTGTTGCTTTCTCTTTTGAACTCCTCCAATGTAGCTTGCCGCCTATAATAAAATTTAAATAATCAATAAATAGAACAGGGTGGAACTATTGTATTGCATTTTTATGTGGGAATGTTGAAGAAAGGTAAAAAGTTTTCCAAGTTTGTGAAGGCGCGCCATTCGCAAGCCCATTTCGAGCCATAAAAACAAGTTTTTGTACAATATTGATGCTTAAATATAGAACATACAAACAAAATACACACTTTCTCGACTTGCTTTTCGTGTAGACAGCTATCGAATCTGCATTTTAACAAAAAATGAAAAAAATAATAAAAAAATTGTTTTTTGAAAAAAATGAATTTCAAAAGTGGTATAAACTTGTACTATTTGAGCGTGTTGGTGCGTTTTCAACATTTAGAAAGTGGAGACATATAAGGGACGATGCAGACAGGA